TATTTCTTACTGTTACTTTTTTATTTCTCACTAAAAGGGACGGTCAGTAAAAACTAATAAATTCACCCCATAACATTTAAATGTTCAGCTTTAGCATGTCACACCTTTCAGTACCACCTCCACGTTACACTGTACTGCAGAACTGGTAGTCTCCAACATGCAGAATCAAAATACAAAGTGCGAAATCAACCATCACTCTATTAAACAGGAATAAGATTGAAATGCTACACAGGATCAAGGAAAGTACATTCAATATTTAGCTTTAAAATTGCACAGAACCCCAGAAAAATGAAGTTTACCTGCATAAACACTCCACCACATGTGTGTTATACTTGAAATGTGCGATTGTTTTTTAATCACTCAAAGGGCATGCAGGTTAGGTTTAGCTGCAAAAGCTGCCTGGCTTATAAAATGTACAAACTTCTAATACAGCCAACAAATATGAATGGAGAGTTGGAACAAACTGGAAACCTAGTAGCAAATATTTCTGTCATTCGTAAATGCAGATACTGAATGTACAGGATTTGATGGTTAAGAATTTAATACCAGTTTCTTCTACAAAATTTTTTTTCACCTTCTTGAGGGAAAAGGAACCTGCCACACTCCTGGAACACAGTGACTTATGATGCATTTAACTAACAGCTTAACTCCGGACGAAAATATATATTTCATCCAACATTCAGAAAGTAAATCATCCTCAAAAATAACTGTAATGAAATCACCTGGTCGTCCTGCAGAAATAAGTATTAGCATGAAGTATGTTTTTACAGTTCTGAATACAAACTAGTACAATGTGATCTCAAATCAAAAGACCAAACATTTTTTTGAATCACCAAAACATCTTAGGCTACGTTCACACTGCAGGCGAAAATGCATCAAATCCGACTTTTCTGACCCTATGCGACCCATATCCGATCACAGAAACTGAGGTTTTGGACTTGATTAGCATATGGGGAGACAATTCAAACAAGCTAAACGACTCCGTGGCCATATATACCTCTGCATGGAGCCACTGGTCCAAACGAGGCCATTGTTAAAGCACGGGCTCTCTTTTTTTCTCAGTGTCGTTCTTTTCCTAATTAATTTTTCAAAATTATGTCGGTTATGACTGTGCAGAAATTGATAGACTGCTGAAACAACACCTACTAGCTCTGTAGCAGCCATTTTTACTTCTATAAGCAGAGCGCGTTGTGTGTGACGTCTTCTTTTGCGTCTTCTTTTGTGCATGCTTTGAGGGCCGTGAACACTAGAGCGCATTTGCTGTTGCATTTTATTTGTAGTGTGAACAACCAGACAAAAAAAAGAGTCGAATTTGATCAAAAAATCGGAATTTAGCATTAAGACCTGCAGTGTGAATGTAGCCTTAGTCAACCATTCAGTACATATAGATCAGTCATTGCAATAATTAGTCCAGCAGTCCGCAACCCCCAATCTGTGGCAAAACTTCAAATTAATCTTCAGGCTTAAGTCCACTATGGTCATCCAGCTTAAGCTAAGACACAAATGTTTGTTGGAAAACAGCCTGAGTCATTTCGTACTGCGCCACGAGAGTTGAGGCTCGGGTGTGAAATTGATGGTTTTCAGGGTTTTCTATCATTAACTCAGTTAACTGGGTCTTTTCCCTTGTTGTAGTTGTGTGTCTTATTTGGAAATATTTACGCATTATCATAGCGACCAGCGAGCATTAAGGGGCAGAGAGGAGGATGTTACTCTCAATGTTGTTGGCGCATTTCGGGAGGATGTTGCTAATGAAGTTACACACTTCTGGTGATTATTTGAAATCACAAATTAATAGTTTGCCCACCAATGTTGTCAGATAATGGCGCCTGAGTCATCCAATGCTTTGTGAAAAATACCCCAGTGGCTAGACCACGAAAAAAAACCACGGCAAGGGTCTAAAATGTTTGGCATCATAAGCAGACTTCTTAGAAAGGAATCCACCTAAGACTAATGAAAATAAAGTATGTGCTAAATATAATCTTCCCTCACCAAATTTCTTGATGAGTTTAAGCGTGCAAACATGTCTCTGAGACAGTACGAAGAGCGAGGTCAATCCATCGTGCACATCAAGAGAAACAGAATTACACCTTCACTCCACATCAGCAATGAGTAAGCACTATTCATGCTTTTAAAATACTCCTGTGACAGTGGCAATGATAAAAATGAACCTTTTAATCAATCTGTGGCAAAACTTCAAATTAATCTTCAGGCTTAAGTCCACTTAATGGTCATCCAGCTTTAACTCAAGATATGAATGTTTGCTGGAAAACAGCCTTTCTGACATCACCGCAGGAACGGATGAAGACAGAGACATAGATCCAAGACAGGTGGGACTCCAACGTGATGTGCATGGCTAAATTTGATCAGAGACCTATGTTCCCCAAGCAGTCATCATTCTCACTGCCTCAACATCTGTCTGTTTGATGAAGGAGCAATTTTTAATAATCCTGCAGGTTCTGGTCGTGGTTCTGGTTGTGATTCTGAGAAGGGGGCAGCAGGCAGGTGACATGGCCGATGCCTTTGGTGACGCCCTCCCTGAAGAGAAGCTTAGCGCCCAGGCGCAAGTACTCGGGGTGTTTGATAAAGCGGAAACGAACAACAGCTCTCTCGCCAGTACGCAGCTCATCCTGCAGCAGAAATCCAAGGTTACATGATGTGGTTACATAGAAGCTTGAAAAATAATCATGTATTATGTAATTTCAAACCTTTCCATGAAGGCACTCCACAGTGGCAGTCTGCCTGACATTACCAACGTGTATGGTGACCTGTGACCCCCGACGGAAAGTCTTGGCATGGAAGAGCAGGACAATGGCAGCTTCAAACTGACAGCAGATGGTTGGGTTCATCTTGGGACTGACCATCACCATGCCCTGTAACACCAATAACACACTGATGTAACCACAGGTTGTTATCAGCAGTTGTAGAATATTTGCAGGTCTTACAGGTATCAAAAAGCAGTCCTTTATCCATTAGTGCGCAACTTGTTACGAATAAATTGAAATTTTCCTACAAGTTGGTTGTGCACACTCTCAGACATTTCCAGGTGGTAGAATCCAAAACTAGCTTCTATCATCCATAAGTTCAAGCTCACAAGAGAAATGTTTCATTTTTGGACAAATAATATGCCCACCTTCTAATACACAGGTTGCTATTTGAAGAGCAACGCTGGGTTCACATCCATCAACATATACAAGTTGTCAAAAACAAATGTATCAGCAATTTAGCATAAAAACATTCGATGGAAAGACAATACACTTTCCTCACATCAAACTATGCAAGTTAAGTGCAATATTGTCTCCTGTTGTATTCAGTTTGAATATTGATGATCTTTCTGTCAAGTTAAATGAATGTAAGACTGGGTGTAAGACTGGGTGGGTAACCTCCATGATGATTTGGTCATTTTGCCTCCCTACAGTCCTGGTTTGCAGTAGTTACTTAGTTTGTGCTAGTTATAGTGCCCGGTATGATATTGCTTTTAACCCTAAAAAGCTTGTTATTGTGATTGTTACAACTAAGGAGGATGACAAGGTAAATTTTCCATCTTTTCATTTAGCAACCAAGTACTGGATGTGGGGAACAACGTATAAAACTTGGGTCATATCTTAACAAGTGATCTTTGTAATGATGATGATGTGAAAAGACAGTGCTGTGAAGGTGTACAAGCAAGCTAATATCTTGGCACATAAATCTGGCACTTTTTTTTAAGCCTATTGTACTTTAAAAAAAAATACGGGTCATTTATGGTGTAATTATAGTAAAGCCATAACCAAAGCCAAACTGCAAGTGGCTTTTCAGGATGCATTTAGAATTTTCCTTAGACTTCCAATTTGGACATCTGCAAGTCAAATGTTTTTCATGAGCAACATCCCACCTTTTCATGCCTTACTCAGGAACTATATGTGCCAATTTATGTGTCATTTGAACGAGTCAAGAAATTCAATAGTCTTGTGAGTTTTGTCTTTGTTGTTTTTTCTTTTAATTATATGGATAAATTTTCTAAAAAAATACAATACAAAGCTACATCATCTCTCTGAACTTGTGTTCTCACCACTTGTGGTGTCTGCAGTTTCACCAATGACCTTAAAAATGTGCAGAGACCAAAAATTTGAATTTCTGTTTGGATTACCAGGAAGTAATCTGAGGGCTCAAATTACGGTCAGAAAAATTTTGTGTTTTGTAACCTTGTAACCCAAAAAATCTGAACATGTTATGTTTGTGCATCCATAGATAAGAATTTCAGTGTGCGTAAAAAAAGATTTGTGTTTGTAAAAAATAATTACAAGTTAAAGCTGAAAGGAAGAAATTTCTGGTCAAAATTTGCACTTTTAAGTTGAAACTCACACACAAGCGAGGGAACTTGAGCACAGAGTTACAACTACGCAGTCTGATTTACAAGTACAAAATATTTATGGCCACAGTTAGAGCCCATAGTAATCTGATAACAGCAGCTGTACTGACAGCAGTCCAGAGGTGCATGAGGAGATGACCTACAAAGGTACACTGTGCAAATTTAAACTGAGTGAAGTTGTTGAGTTTTAGAGTCACAGAAGAAGTCACTATATCAAGGAAAGATAAATTGACTGAGACACTTTGTATGTAGGGTTTGCAGAGTTTTTACTTCCTAGACAATTCTTGCATGTACGTTAGAACATTTTGGGTTGTCGTCTGTCCTTGCCAATTATAGAGATCCTTTCCTCAACACATTGGGGGACAATTCAAAACAACCGTTGCTTCAAGTTACCTCTTTATATTGTAAGGTAAAGATCCTGAACTAATAACAGAATACTCTGTATTTTTAGCATGAGTCTGGTCTGTGTTTCGCAGAGAAATTAAACACCATTAATAAATTTGAAAAACTGCGACCATGAAGGTCGACTGCGATCCTTCCCTCTGTGTTTTCCAAATTCTCAAAGGAACTGGAAAGTAACTTCCAGTATAAATGAAAGAGAGCAAACAAAATATGCAATATACACACACAGAGATGTATGAATTTGTGCAAGTTACATTTAAAAAAAAAAAACCCTTTAAATCATCTCCTACATCCTTTCATGTCTTTAGGTGGCCTCTAACCTTGCGCAATAGTGAACGGTCAAAGTTTCCCAAAGCCAGCGTTGCAGCCTGTCCAGCCCTCAGCACTCTGCAGGCAGAGCGGTTCCTCTGGATACTGCCCACCTTCAGACGCAGAAAACGGCCCTCATCAGTTGGACCCACCACCAGCCTCTCACCCTCCCTACACATTCCACTGAAACACAGACCGTCACACAAACACAAACTGTTCTTAGTGTAATGCACGGCACTTTCCATGATTACAAACACCTGCTCTGTGTCCAACCAAGGACCCGTAAAATGAAAAGCTGCGATATATTATCAAAGATTCTATTCTTATAAAAGTAATGTGTTATATATATCTCTATGAATATTTGGGGTTCCCACTGTTTCAAGAATAAAATGTAAAATAATATTGACAACTTATTAAAGCAGACAGTGCTATCTCACCTGTACAGAGTTCCTCCAACCACAGTCCCAACGTCAGGAACTGAGTAGATCTCATCAACCTTCAAACACAGAAACGATTAAATGTCAGTCTGCGCTTTCCACACTCCAGCATGCAAGTCACACACACGTCTCTACCACGTTCTATTAGGGGCTGGTGTGTGTGTGTGTGGTGTGTTTTTGTTTTCTTTTTCCTTTTTCGGCGCAGGGTAGGCAGGGCGGTGATTCGCAGGATCACCAGCACACCTGTGGCAAATCAGGCCGGAGCTTTTATAGGGAGCTGACATCTGGTGTAAGAGTATTGCCTCTTCCACAAGTAGTAACGTGCACGTTCGCTCTCTAGATTGGAATCTACGACCTGCCGAGTGTTTTAAGATCTTATTTTCCTTCCACCTGCCTGCCTCGCTCCCCAACTGCCTGTCTGTGCCTCTGAAGACTGTTTAATCGGTCTGAACTGGGAATCACCTTGCCTACCAATTCAATTACATTCAAATTCTTAATTACTTATTCCCCAAAGGGGAAATTTGTTTAGCAGCAAGACAACAATAAGAGTAAACAAAACAATAATGTTAATAATAATAATAACAAT